GTGGAAGTTTATTTCGTTGCAATTTTATTCCCATGAAATTTGTGGCTCCGCACAAATTTTCAAGTCTTTTGTGGCTTACAAGGATTTCCTAACGAAATATGCACTGCGTGCTGTCGGGTTTAGCAGTTGCTGCAAAACTTTACGGCCCATACTTTTAAGAGGGATTGCCACCGGAATGACGCAAAGTTGGCATTGGGGGAGATGGTGCAGTGTGGTGCTCGTGCGGTGCGGTGTGCGGGCCGTCTGCGTTGCAAAATTAGCAACAAAAATAGCAACATCTGCCCTTGCACTTTGAGCGACACTGTGCGTATACGTAATTTCTATTTCGTTACGCCCTGTGCACTAGTTCGGCAATTTGGGTCAGTGCAGAGTCAAATGTGAATTGCGGTCGATAATAATTCGAGAATTTCCAAACTGAACATCTTCTTGTACTCTTTATCTTTACGCTCTTTCGTATCTTAATTCGGCCTATTGGCACTTCCTTAAGAAACTTGCTGCAGTTCCTTCCGCCTGCTAACAAATTTGATCACAATTTATTATATTAAGTAGCACAGGGTAAATAGAATTTGTGCAGTGCACTTTAAATCTTAAGCGTAATTTAATTTCCAATGCAAAGCAGGGCGTACAACGCACCTGGGCAGTCGCCTAAGCGTGCAAATCCGCCCACTGGACTGGGTACACCTGCTGTTGGTGGAGAGACGACAGGTACGAGGTTGCCGGAAGGAGCGCAGAGGCAAACAGAGGGTTGCATATTAGCAGTTGGGACAGCTTCTTTCTATCCATTCCGATGCGCAACACTTGCTATGAGTTATTTATATATATACATATATAAACAAGCAGGAATGCGACAGCAGGCGCTGATAGACTGTGAAATACCCTGTGAGCAAACACATTTTGTTGCTACTACTAAAAGATAAATTTTGATATCTTGTTGAAATTGAAATTGTATTAGGTAAATTTAAGTTTGTAAACTAATTCGTAGAAAGTTTTGAAATTATGTAAAATAACATTAATAATAATATTATATAAATATTATTAATATTATTATATAATATGTCAAGTACAAGTTATTTCAATATACACATTTGCTGTAGGCATTTATAAGGTATATTAAATGCTCAAGCATTCAGAACGCATTAGCGTGAATGCTCATAACTGTCGTTCTGTGCAAGAATGTGTGCGCTAGTGTGTGTGAGTGGATGTGGGTAGGTGGATTCATCTGGTAGCCACTACGACAACGACGACAGCGACGACGACGGCGACGGAGACTCGGACGGTGCCTCTGACTCCGGTTTGGACGCCGGCTCTAAGCTGTGCCTGTCTCTAATGCGTTGCGTACCTCAAGGCTCTGTTGGCGTAGCTCGCTAACGGTAACGGCCGCCATTTTAAACTCGTTTCGCATGCAGCAGTTTTTGCATTCTTATTTCATGCCCAACGTGAAAATGCCGCATGCTATAATGAAATGAAATGTAATTTGCATTTAAACACACACCCACACACTCACACACCCACATATATAAATGGCAGCAAAAAATGTTGAAAGGCATGCAAGGCTCGTTGGGCTGGAGGGGCCGTTGGACGTGCGTGTCAGGCGGCGCATTTACATTTACACCGCTGAGCCTGAACCTGAGGCCGAGCCCAAGCCCGAGCCCGAGCCGGAGCCGGAGCCCACATGCATTTCATTTCATTAAAATTGCAAAAATACATTTAAACTGAAGTTGGTTACATTTTTTCTTTACATTTTTTACCCTTCACCCATTGAAAAGCCAAGAGGGGTATAAACAAGCCGTGCATGTGTATGTGCCAGTGCCAGGCCTTGACTTCTGATATACAAATAGCTCACTCAGCGCACGGTAAATGGGCAATCTCTTGCATAATGAATGGGCAAGTTAATTAAAATTACAAAATTAATTAAAGGTGGGTATCTCCTAGCCGCTCATAGTCAGCCACAACCTTTTGGGTTTAGGTTTTATTTTTTGCTTTTTTGTTTTTGTGTGTTTGCCATTGCTGCTGTGATCTTTACTTCTTTTTCATATTGACAGTTACAGCATTTGGTTTTTCATATTTATTTCAGTCTTTTTTTATACGTAACTTTCGTTTAATTAATTTTTTATACGGAATATTTATGTGCAAATTTGTAGAGCTATGCGCTTTATGAAAATTCTGAGAAGAAAATGGAGAGTACATATGGAATTTCCAATGAGCAGCGACAGTGATATTATTTAATTATGATTAATTCCTTTTAGTAAATTTTAAATTTATATTTTCGAAAATGTAAAGAGGCTTTTTATTTATATAAATTTAAATGTGATTATGAATTAAAATATTAATAGTAATGGGTATTCTGAAAGTCGTGCTCATTTCGGCATAAAACACGCCTTGTTGTATTTATTTGCATATCATATGTAGCCATAAAAAAGTTATTTTTAGCTAACGTTTTGTTGTTTCTTTAGCAATAGTCGTGACAATTTAGAATTTCATATTTTGTTTTTTATTTTCTTGCTGAAGTACGGTTGGTAGCTTTTAAAATGTGTATTGATTGGAACAATATAGTTATATTTATTTTGGATGGAATGTGTTCGCTGTACTCTACAATATGTTGTGCCATTTCAGAGATTCCGAAAGCCTTTTAGATATTAAATTATGCGATTTATATATACTCTATATAAAATTGAATAAAATATAATATATATACAATACATAATATAATATAATTATCCATATAAATTTGTTTAATTAATTAATTTATATACATAAATGTAAAATAGTTTTGATATATTATACATATATATATATCCCTATCCCTATATATTTATTTTGTAGTGTAATATTCAGCCGTATAAACTTGATCTTGTTTTCCTCTGCCATTGAACTACAAACTATTATTTTTTAACGAACTCGGTTGATTGAACACCAGCAAAGCGTGAAACTGGCCGATGACATGGACAACAAGTAAAAAGGATATATATGGATATACATATACATATATATATATATATATATATATATGTACATATATATTTGTGTTTACTATATAAATGGATTACGAGACGACGTTTCGTGCATATTGCGGATAGCTCTAAAAATATTTGAATTTTATTTGAACAAAAATGAAAAGTGAAACTACAGTAATTCGATTTGATGCCAAACAGAACGCAAATAGTTGATAGTTTTTTAAGCCATCTATAGGTCATAAATTCAGTTTGTGTAAATATTTGATTGTTTTAAATATTGAGTTTGATTGATGTGGGAGCTTCTGTCGCAGCTCGACTCTAACCAATTTGGCACATTTGTAATTGAATTATGTTTTCGGTCGGATCTCAATTTCTGATAATAGCCATTCCAGCCGTGATAGAAGAGGCCTGCTATTGCATCAGAGTTGTGTATATGTATTAAATTGCTGAAAATCACAAATACTGTGCTACCTGTTCAATGCAAATCGATAACTCACCTGTAGCCACAACGACTGCTTTATACCGCCAGCCACCCGCACGTTCATATGCACAATTTTGACAATTATCGCTGTCGTAGATGAACAATGAATGACCTTTATTCGGTCAGCATTTCCTTTATATTCACCCAGCGAACGTAGCTCGTAATCTTTGCTCTGGCTGTCTATTTGAAAATTATCGTAGTGAGCATATCGCATGCTTCCCTCAAGGTCATTCCGTTCTATATAGAGCTCATGGGCTCATTGTTTTGTTAACATGTGCAGCGTTTAAAATCTATCGAAAAGTAAGCTCTTAAAAGTTCTTTGTTTTTATACCCTGAGCCCATTAAAAATGGAAAATGAGGGTATAATGGTTTTGTTTTATTAATAATGTTTTATTAATGTAATGAGGCACTCCAGTAGCCCCTTTGTGAGCTTATTGTCTTAGAAGTAAATAACTAAATGACGTAGCTAAAACTTAAGTCATAAAATAAATCTTGCAGTCAATTTGCTTTGATTTACATTAATTTTCATCGTATTCGTCACAATTCGCTTTCTTATAAATTATATAAATACAGCAAAGCTAAACAAATTTACATCTTACAAATTTTATCAAAAGCAATATGATATTAGGATTTGTAATTAATTTAATAGAACATTTATACATATAGGAGAAAATATATAAGCCGATAAACAAAACATATATAAAATATAAACGATACAAAATTTCAATTTACTTTAATTTAAGATAGTGCCAAATAGTCTGCTACATTATATAAGCTGGGCTCCTAAACTGTCTTAGCGCAAACACAAACCACTTGGCTTATTTAGTTAACAACGTTAAGCGAAGCTCATAGCAGCTGCAGCTTTGGAGCTGACTGTATTGCATACCTTATGGCTCAATAGTTAAACGGAATGATGTAAGTTGGTATAACGTATAATTAAATTGGAATAAAATAAACTGTAAAGTGTCTAAATATTTATAAAGAAAAAATATATGTATAAATAAAACAAAGAAATTTTAGGTAGATGAAATTCCTTATTAGTATAATTAGTATAAAAGCTTGTTCTTTCCTCATTAACACAAACTAACTGGCAGATATTCTAGTAAGTAAATTCAACCTCACTTTAAAGTTCTACTCTACTTTAAAGTTCTACTCCAAAGTATGGATCAAGTGAGAAACCAAAGAATGAGAGAGGATTGCACTACAAAAAAAAAAGAAAATGCAAATAAAATAAAAATCTGCAACATTTATAAATTTGTAAAGCAGCCAAGTGCTAGCAAATTATGCATAAATATTATAAATAACCGCTGGCATTGTAGTTTACATATGACATTGTTGCCATATGAAGAAGATGCCCACGTTACAGGTGTCTGCCGTAGATATGAATAAAATATTGATGTAGAATAGAGATAATTATGTGAGTTGAATAGAAAGCCAATAATTTTCAATTATTTATAAACGTTCTATGACAAGTGTAGAACGAAATCTTAGAATGATAGAGAAATAAAAATGAAATATTTAAACGCGAATATACTCCTTAAAATTTATTATGAAAATAAATAAAAAATATTAAAATTTCCTTTAATAACTTCACTTATGTATTGTTGAAATGTTTATTGTACAAAACAGAATTCACAACTTAATTTAACATCCACATCATTATTATCGAAGGTCTTTTTTTCAGTTTTCAGCTTTCATCCAAAATATATAAACTAAATTTGTTTAGGCCACTAAATAGCAAGTGTTTCGCGTTCTAGCTATGATGATACCTAATAGTGTGCCGCATAGGGACTAGTGTAGTGTCCGTAGTGTCCTGCGTCGTACTGTGGCACATATTCGTATTGGGGCTGGTTGTAGTAGCTGCCGTCGTCGTAGTCGTAGTGGATGGGCGCAGCAGCGGGCGCGTATTGCTTGGTGACTGTAAGTAATGAAAGGTAAATAGATATACATGCATATATATGTATGTAATATGATGCAAAATAAGCTACACTTAATGTTTGTACACTGCCCTAAGCTAACTTTGCAAAATGATTCGACAGAAAAAGTAAAGCAATGCTTAGCAGCAGCTGTTTGGCTCTTTACATTTTTGTAGTTGTTGATCAAATTTTTATTTCAAACTAGTTCAGTTCAGCTGACGAAATAATTTCTCGGTTTGTCACGAATTCGTAGGCACCAAAGTCAATTGGTCACAGGTGTTGTTGTTGTTGCCAGCTGAATTTCCTTTCAGGTATTTTGCACCCAACTGGGGTTTGAGGTTCGTTGCCTAAGTCTTTTGTGTTTTGCCAAAAGTCTTTTGCTTTTGTGTGCGAGGGCGCCCCTTATGATTCTTAAATATGAAAATGGCAGCCACAATCAAAATAATTTTCACATGCAGTCACAACAATAAAACCAACAACAACAATTCCCACGAGAATTCGCATTACGACATTGAGAAAAGATGTGGGCTTTTGGCTTGCAAATGAAAATGAAATGCTGAACATAATTTCCCGTACAACTCTTACACCTGCGCCCAAAGATGATGCGCTACTGTTTCTGCTACTGCTGCTGCTGCTGCTGCTGCATCTGACATAATTAGTGTGGGAATATTGCGGAGAATATGAGAGCAAAACCGCAGCTAATCTCTTGATCAGAGTTGAGGAAAACGTACTCTCATGACATAATTAACATAAGGTGCAGGGGCGTGGCGGCTGTTGTTGCATTAGTCAACTAAATGCAGGTTTTGTAAATTAACGTACATTTCACGATGCGATGATTCAATTTACATGCCTCAACGCACACGCTCTCAAAACTAATTGCGAATGCGAAGTGAACTAAAGCGTTTTTAATAATAATTTTTAAAAAATATATGGTTAGATATGGTATATGTATATGCATGTTTATGTATGTGTGATGGGAAACTGATTCAGTAGGCTGCATAATAATCGGCATCGGTAATAGCCTCCGCATCAGCGTTGTCATCATAGACGTCTGGGCGTAATTTGCGATATTGATTGTTAAAATAGTTGGCGTGACGCCTGAACAGCTTGAGCATGCGATACGTGTTCATGCCTAGAAAAGCAAGAGCAGCAAGTCAGTGTGCAGAATGCGTCGACTGATGCATAGAGAGTGCTACCACAACAACAACAACTAACTGGATGTGCGTCTGAGGAACTATCCATAAGCCTGTACAACCATTACGACTACGATGCAATAGATATAAGGATAGTTTGATGTCTGACTCGCACTTACCATAGGGCGCTGGCGAGGCGGCGACGATCACCGGCGCAGCCACTGGAGCCACATGTGGTTGGTAGTGGCTCAGAATTGGCTTGTGCGCCACAATGGGCTTGGTGACTAGCGCTTGGGCGTGCACAGTGGGTCCAGATTTGGTGACAACAGCGTTGAAGCCATGAATTGAATCAGCTGTGTAGTCCACGGTGCGAATGGAGCCATCGGGCTCAACCAGAGAGTATTGGCCTAAAGAAGAGTTTGATAAACGATAGAGATATATACATAAAATGTGTAAATGTGTGTGTGTGTGTGTGTGTGTGTGTGTGTGTGTGTGTGTGTGTGTGAATTTACGGAGAGAAACTTACCCTTGACAACATCGCCATCACGCGTCTCATGCTGTGACTTGACATCGCCTGTGCTGTGATCAGCAACGCCATAGTTAAAGGAATATTTGGGATGGTCCTGTAAAATTGAAAATTTATATTTTTAATGTTTTTGTTTCAAATTTAGATTTTTAAATATATTTATTTTCTTTTCAATTATAATAAAATTTAAATCTGGATTATCTCTATAGTTTTAAATTCAGTATTCCAAATATAAAATTTTTTAGATTCACAAATTATAATGAGAAATATAAAATTTTTTTTAACATCAAAATATAAAAATCTTATACAAATGTTATATATACATTTTATAGCATAAATAATATTTCCTAAACTTTACTTCGTTTGTATATTTATTTTTTAAGTTTTAACGAACGAACGATAGTATCGATACTAGCTCCAAGACTCATCCCTCTTTTTTGCCTCTCAAACTCGAATTATATTTCTCACACAATCACACATAAATCTCCAACTCACATAGTAATCCACAGCATATCCAGGACGCGCTACGGCTACGCTGGCGAACAGCGCCAGGGAGAGGATAACAAAGCACACGAAATTTGCCATTTTCTGGAGATTTTTTGATATCGTATTTTCGATTGCAAATTTGTTTCGATAACTGGCTAAAAGCAAACAAACACAAAAGGTTGATTTAGCGTAAGCACTTCACAGAGATCCTTAGATTTGAGGATTTACTTTTAGTACTGCAACGGCAACAGATACAAACAACGCCAAGTTCACCGGAATACTGTGGCTATTCTAGAGTCAAGTTGCCATTTAAATAAGCGCAAGAGCAGCGACGCAGCTGCGCAGCCAGCTCTTCAAGACACTGGGCCTTTTCTCAGTCAGTCAACTGTAGCGATGTCGACGTCGCAGCCACAGCCACAGCCGCTGCCGCAGCCGCAGTCAACGTCACTGGCGTGGTGAGTACGACGATTGCTTGGCGGGGGCCATGTGAATGAAGTTGCAGCATGAATCGGGATGTTGCTACACAAGAGTCGCTGAATGGGGTCGGGTTGTACTATATGTATGTATGTATGTCGATGTGTAAGTAGTGCAAATTGGCGACAGACTCGGCCATAGATCTCGAGCGAGCGCTGCATTGTGAATACCTATGTTGTGGCGCTATCCGCTGCCAGTCACTGCAGAATTGTTGGTGTTATTAATCATAGATGTTGTCATTAATTCCGCACGGCACAAACAAATGACTTGGGCCTCAAGCTAGTCAGCTCCAATGGTTGTGGCCCTAGACCAAAACAAATAGTGGCCAATAAAGCGCAATTTATTTAACAACTTAATTCAATAAAAAATATCTAGGCTATCTTAGCCAAGTTCAAGCCAATGCGAAACACACAAATGCAAATAGTGTAAAGAGCACCCTATGTAAAATTCTGACTGCCAACTGTTGTTACTTACTCCAAGCCACAGGCCTCTTCTCTGTCTCTCTTCCTCCCAGTTGAGTCTTAGCCATCAATGCCGAAGGTCAAGCACGGCTGACTACCATTCTAGGCAAGAAATGAAAGCAAAAGTTACGAAAACAAGCGAAAAGCAAATATAAAGATATGACACCAGAGCAATTTAAACTAATTTATATCTTTATCTATAATAATGCTGACTAGTGACTAGTGCTGACTCAATCAGTGATTAATTGACTGCTCTCCACTTCCATATAAACAATTATGTCAGATAACGCGCATTATATGTAGGCAAGCCATACCCAGGCTAGTTCTAATTGTTGGCCAGGTACAAGCGCAGGATTTGAAGTCGTTGCTGGGGTGTTCTTTGCACTTATTGTTCCCACGGGTTCCGGTCGTAATATATTGAATTAATTAAGCGAAAAAAAGGTGTAAGTTGTGGGAATGTAGGCGAGTGAATACCCTAGAGTTTAGGGTAAGGGGAGATTCATGATCATTTTGTTATATATCTGGAATGAAAATACGTTGTACAGCCGAGTCTCAATAATTTGTACCCCGCTAAATCGAAAATGGTGTTAAATCGGAACAAGTACTATCCCCTTGAATTTTTATGGAAATCGAAAAAAAGACTGATCCCCTTGCCAGAATTATAGCGACTCGACTGTATGTATAATATATATTTAAGAATAAACATTTAGTCAAAATGCCTTTCAATATTCCTAATAATTTAAATGTATATACAATATGTAGGTATAAAGATTGAATCTTTATTGATTATTATATTATAATAATTTATATTTCAATGAGAATGTGTAGATATCATGATATCCCACTCACGACATTCTCATAGCTGCCTAGCATAACACATGAACTTTTATAGCTACCCACTGCAAGGGTATATTGGCTGACCTATGTATCCTAACGTAGTTAGAGCATGTTTTTGTAGCACTTCAAGTCTGTATGTTTTTAATGCAAAATTGTTAATTGAGTAATTTGTCGTTATGAAGTGCATGAGAACTGAACAGACAGTTTATATCAGAGTAAACCGATCAGGAATACGTATGCGTTTATCTACTGATTTATTGCTAGCGGCCAATTTTCGCTTGAAGATAGCTGAGACAAATTTCAGCTTAGTCGGCTGAAGTTCAGTTCATCCTTGAACCACGCTGAGAACGTGCCAATTGAGGTTGGCGGCTAGCAAATTTATCAGAAATATTGACAAACCGCAAGACTCCCAGTCGCAATTGCAGCAGTTGAAAACAAAACACAGCAAAAATCAGCAAAAAAAAAAAGCAAAAAACAAAAAGCAAATATAACAAAAGCGTTAGTCAAAACAATTTGTGTGGCCCACTATACAAGATGATAATGTGTGGTAGTTTATGTCTGGGTCAGCGTTACGGACTGCCCTTTTTCACACAATTAAATACGACGGGGCGTACTAAAGACTTTAATTAGAGCAAGCTCCAAGTGCAGAGAATTGCGCGAAAACTTACCAAAAAAATCAAAAAAACTAAAAGAAAAAACAAATGAAAAATGAATGAAAAAAAAAAAAAAACAACAAAAATTAACCTTCAGCACTTGCATACAATTGTCTCAATGCGCTACGCCTCCGTTTTTTCCTCACTCCGAGGCTTGAATTTCCAATTCGACTTCGGCCTGCGGTTTGTCGGCAGCTAAAAAAAAAAAAAAAAAAAAAAAAAATTAAAGCTAAATACTAGATTAAGACAATTTGCATGTTTGTGAGCGCCGCCAAAGCATTTGCTACGCAGGCATGATAACTCGACTCTGGCCAAGACTCGACTCCGCTCTCAAGGGGCTGGGAAAATCTCAAGCGATTGTCGGCATTTTCCGAAGGTTTTTCATATGTAGCTTGACAGATTTTTAGCCACATATGCGTGGCTTCCTCCAATACGGTTGGACAGCCGTAAGTATGCCCAACTACCTAGAATGGAAACTATCATAATGTCTAGGCAGCAAAATAAATACCATTCATACATTCATATATGTTCATGTTAAATGTAGCGTGCAGCTAAACTTCAGGTTAATGACAAATCGTGCCAGCTGGGAGTGGAATTTAATATATGTATAAATAGTTTATTTCTGTGCGAAAATAAAAACATACTCGCCTTTAAGCATTATAATTAAGTGAATCGTAAAAATATGAAATGTGATTTGTTCGTTTGGGATTGAATCATAAAATATAATACGACATTAATAATAAAACGGAAAATGAATGAATGTGAATGCTTGTAGAATTCTAAAGTTGGAATTATGCTGTAGAACAGTGAAAAGAATAGGGTAGTAAAATATATGTATACACACTTATATAATAAATATACATATATGAAGATATATATGTATCATAAATGTAAATTATTTTCGTTTGACTAATTTATATATATACAAATATGAGTTGCTGAATGGTGAGATTTGCTGGAATTGAAGCTTGACTATTAGCAACAACAACAACAACGACAATGATGGCGACTTTGACTTGGTTTACTTTGGTCGCCTAATTTCAGTTTGTTTGCACAAACTAATTTGACAATGGGCAATGATCATTGCTGGAGCATTGCTGGGGAGCATTGTCGCTTGCAACACGCGACAACTTCAAGGTGCAAATGTTGCAAGTCAGGCCACGAAAACAGAGACAGAGACAGAGAGTGAGAGATAGAGAGATAGAGAGAGCATATGTACAGGCAGATACAAGGTAGTTTGTGTGGGTGTGGGCGGGCATCATTGTTGTCGCTTAGTTGGGTATGCTTCAGTGCTTTGGAGACTACCGCATCTGCAGTCCGAGCCAATTGACTGGCCATTGTTAACAAGAGATGTTTTTCTGTAACGCGCCATGAAAATGACCCGTGGCAAATGCGGCCGCTGTAATAAAATGCAAATTAATGTGCTTCCAGACCCGAGGAGGTGCTATAAATTTTCAGTTGTTTAGCGTGTGCTCCAGAAAGAGATGGAAATGGATTCTCGCACCTTTTTGGCCAATTTGTTGCAGACTGTTGAGCTGCCGCTGCTGCTGCTGCTGCTGTTGTTACTACTACAACTACAACTACAACTATTACCACTGCCTGTCATGCATCAAATTAACCCTCAAATAATCCAGTTAGCTCTCGTTATATAATTGATGCTGACAGGCGGCATGCATAACTACAAAGATACACATCTCGGCCAGCCTCCAGTGAATCCGCACAGCTCTTGAGCTGTTGCTGTTGCTGTTGAAATGTTTATTTATGCGCGGCAAAACACAAATCTCTTATACCTGTAATTATGTCTGCCCAGTTGCTTAGTGGCTCGACTATCCAGTCGTTCAATTGCTAAGTTGCTCATCTACTGGGCAATAGTTAATTATTAATGGTATTTTTCAATTACGCCGACAGATGCGGCGACATTTACATGGCACAGTGGTTCGCAAAAGTTAATGGCAACGAGCAGAACTAATATTAATACCATATAGTTGCACTTATTCTTAAACGAATACTCATAATAATGCAAATACTTATACTAATTTTCATATGTAGTAATACTATTGCTGGTACCAATACTAAGTCATACCAATACTATTAGTAACGCGAATGTGAATGATAATACTAATTAATGATAGATAGTACCATTTGTCATAGTAATACTAATGCTACTAATTATAAGTCATACTATATTAGTATTAGTATGACTTAAAATAGGGGTTTTTGGAGTACGCCGTATTTCTTATTAAGCAATGCTTAATAATGCTTAATAGTAATGCTTAATAATACAACTATTCATGATAATACTAAGACTAATAGTAAAACTAATATGAATAATACAAATACTAAGACTAATGCTAAACGAAAATATCTAATAATTATAGCGTATACCAGCTTAAATAATAATACCAATAATAAATAGTTCTACTACTTATACCAATGCTAATTTCAATACTAATTACAAAGATCAATATTAATTAATGTATCAACAAATAAACCACTGTGCACTGTGTCTTCTCATTTCAAACGATGCACCTCCAAAAGGTGGTCAGAGCTCTAAGAGCTTCAGTAGCCACAGCCGCCGTATGTGATTATCTATAAATTGTATCAACGACTTTGACTGTCGATGCATATCTGAGACTTGTATCTTGATGGTACGCGACAGACTACTAACAAAACAAATCCAGTCCAATCCAAGCACGTGTTGACGGGGGCAGGAGATGCAGCTCTACTTGAATGTCAACTACTCGCATCAATTGGCCAAGTGCAGCAAAAAGTAGTTAGCCAGTGTCGTTTCAATGCTGAAGAAGACTCCAGCAATGCCGCATAGCTGATATTTCGCTCACATCTTTATTTCGTGTGCTGCGAATGAAATGTGGTTATGAAAAGGTTATTGGAGCAGTGGCTACCAGTTTTTGCTTACATTTTCATTAAATTTTTGCTGGTCACTGAGTCAGATGCTTAGCTGACTTACTTAAGCTTTACTTAAGCTTTGGGGTATTATGCATAAGTAAACACTGGGGCGTTGGGTTTGCCAGCTACCGGCACTTCCTTCCGGCATTTCCTAGCAACGCGAAAAACCCAATTGAGATGACCTTAACTGTTAAAGAACCCGGCCAGAGGGCAGCTGCCACAACAACAACAGCCCGATCTCTCAGACGAGTCGCTGTCTAATTAATGGAGTGCACGTATAACTTATTTTAGGTGTTTCTTGCTTTACTTTTTCCATGTATTCTTTTTGTGTTTTTAGCGCACATTTAAACGCTTCGCTGGGTTTTGATTTTCAGTCTATGATAAATACGAATTTTTGCGCCAGTTTTCAAGCGACTTGAGCTCTTTATTTTTTTGTTTTTGTTTTTGTTTGTTTCTGCTTTTTTTCTTTTTGTGTCCAAATATCTGCGTTCATTAAGAGATCAATATGTCGCTTTCTTGTTGCTGTGGCCTGCTCAGACATAAAAGTGACGGAAATGCGAAGATTTGTGGATGGCGGAAGCAACTAGCTCGGCTCAACTTTTTGTTTTAAATGTTCATAACTTCTGTTACTTACATAAAGTTTCGCCCACTTGGGAAAAAGAAACACAATCACCTGTCTAAAGACATTTGTTATCAATTATGAACTGCTCAGTGGCAGCATTTATGTATCAAGTGCAAGTCTAATGGCAAAGCAATGTAACTTAATTGTTCAAAATAAATATAATTAGATAATTTTTTTTTTAAATATACTATATATATATATACTATACTATATTTGAAATTTCCCATATAAAGTTCATTTGCTCAATTTTAGTTTATAGTATTTTATTAAAAGCAGTCAATTCGTGTGTTATTTAAGGTTTGACCAACTAAAAGGTTTGACCAATTGAAAGCTTTTTTTTTTTATAAGAATTTGAAGATTTTGCTTACGCGTTTTATCTACTAAATAGAAATAACCTTCTGCAAATACACATTTAAATTATCTATCAAATCTAAACCTAACAATCTTCATTAAACAAAATGCTCATAATAGAGCAAAAATAAGATCTGAGTGGTTCCTAAAAACTTAAATAAAAAAAATAAAAAAAATAATAATTTTATGGAATGTGGAATGTAATTCACAAAATATAAAATCCACATTTTTCCTAAAAGTAGATTTAAAAAAAATTTTAAATTTTGTCAGCCTAAAAGTATGATAAAGAAAAATATTTGATTTATTTATTGTATTTAAAATTAAAAAAAAAAACATGAGACATGCGAGATACTCAACTAAATTAGCTTAGTTAGCTGCAACAATTAAGAATGTGCAATACATATTTACAAATCAATATTAAATTCTGCTACTATTAGATCTAATCTAATTAATCTAGTCTTACATTTATGTATGTGTGTATGGGGGATAATAAAATATTAAAAATTATATATACATATATACGTAAAATTAGTTCAACATATATTATCCTACTATATTATTGTTATTGTTATTATTATTATACTATAATCAGGTTAGCAAAATTACTGATAAAAATATGATAATACACAGATAACATTAATATGTTATATAGATAATTGTAATTCTCAAGAGAATGTTAAATCACGCTCAGTCTACCATGTTTATAAGACGAGAGACAACTGTTAGATGAGTCTGAGGAAAAGAAGTGCATTCTTAATTTATTCATGTATGTAAGAATAAACATTTATGATATATTCTTGATACTAACTTTCAAAATGGTTACTAATAAGGTATTTGTACCTAGCTGGGTTCTTAGCTAACCCATAATTGTCAATCATATGATCATGATTATGATCATGAGCTGGGCAATTATAAAATGAGTAATGTATAAAATAAGTATTGTAAATTATGAACAATTAACAACCAATCGCTTTCGCATAAATTAAATGCTGAGAACTATCTGAAGCTATAATTATGTGCTATACACATATTTATAGATATACTCGCATCTGCTGGTAAAGTAAAAGTTGTTCAGTTTTGGTTTTCTGTAATTTACTACAGTTTATATTTATAGCATTTTATACAACTTAAGTTCTAGGCAGAAATTATGAGACATGTTACAAGATATAAATTCCCAATTTATATTTGTGTATGTACATTCCATGCGGAGTTCTTCTGTTCATCATCATCTTCTATTTCATGATCATCTTTCGTTTATGCAATTACGTGGTTCGTGGTTTTGTGGGCGTGGCTTTGTTGATGGGCGTTTGTGTGTTGGCGGTATATACAATAAGATAAGTTTAATGCTGTATGAGAGTGTATATGGATGTGTAAGTGAGACAGAGACGGTGCATGTGTGCGAGCAAGATGGATGCCATTTGATGGTTCCGTATCCGTGAACTTGAGTGACTTGAGTATTGAGCAGGCGATGCTGGAAGCCAGGGCGCATTGGTTAAGTCGTCAACGTGTGTTTAATAAATATGAAAGAATAGGCATGACAAATGGGATGCGGGAGGGTGGGGAGCTGTATGAATGTTCCAAGCTGATTCCTTAGTAGTGGGCGACATGCGCGTGGGCATTGTGGGTGGCATAGCCGTAAGCGGGCACAGCAGCGGCATGATGTGCCACAGAGCCACCATAAGCCACAGCTGGAGCGGCAGACACATGGTGAGCGATGGCAGGAGCGTGGGCCACCAAGGGAGCAGCATGGACGGCGGGCGCAGCGTGCACAGTGGGCGCACTCTTGTGCACGACAGCGTTGAAGCCATTGTGATCATCGGCGGTGTACTCCACGGTGCGCACGGAACCATCAGGCTCCACCAGAGAGTAGGAGCCCTTGACAACATCACCATCGCGCACCTCATGCTGGGACTTCACATCGCCGGTATGGGAGTCAGAGACGCCATAGTTGTAGTGGTACTTGGGATAGGCCTGTCAAGAGATGAGAAAGAGAGAGAGAGAGAGAGAAGATTTAGCGTCAGCTAGGCACGAATTTAAGATGCACGCGATGCCAATTGGCCAATATGCTAATTGGCTAATGGACAATCGTGAGAAAACGCGCACTAAATGTCAGCATGACATATGACCCTGGCACACACAGCATTAATTATAGCTGCTGCAATTCACTTACGTGATAATCCAGACCCTCATCGTGGTGGTGGCCATGAGCAGCATAGCCCAGAGCAGGAGCGGCGGCATAGACAGCGGGACCGCTATGCAGGACGCCGGCAGAGGCGATGCTCACAAGAGCCAAGCATATCAGAGACTAGCACCAAAATAGAGCACAATTATTATAATACAGACACACTGGACACAGTACTGCTGGCTGGCACTGTAGGTAGCCACAGTAAGCACTCACTTTGAAGAAAGCCATTTGAAGGATTTAGAGTTGGGATTTGCGGTGGCTTTATTTCCTGGTTAGCGGCGCGTGTGTGCGATACGTTGAGCGTAATTCAACTGATAACTAGAACCCAGAAGGCAGTCTCTTTTATATCCGAAGACAACGCCCGAGCGATCAAGCCAAAAGCCACACGATTACCCCCGAGCCGAACGAGCGAACTCAACGAACGACGACTGGTCGAAACAATTGCCATTTGCAAGTAAAGCTTAAGAAGTTGCAACAGCATTAACAACAAACTCAACAACAACAGCAACAACAGCAACAACCACAACAAAAGCAACAACATTAACGACTATAGAGCCGGCAGCAAAAAGCGACGTCAACGCCGACGCTGACTGTGAAAACGAGAGTGAAGTTCAGTCAAACGTCAGTAAATGGACTGCGCTTTGTTGTTGTTGTTGTTGCTGCTATTGTTGTTGTTGCTACTGCTGCTGCTGATATTGTGGTTTGCGTCTTAGCTTTAGTCTGCATTAACGAACATTTCTTGGTGAATGTGACTCAAAGTTGACTCTTTGAAATTTTTGGAATTTGATTATAATTATGTCTGATAAAAAAATTATTAATTTTATTTGGTTTAATATATATTGAATTATAAGTTTTTTTTTCTTTTTTTTTTTATTACATATAGCAATGTACTAAATATTACTATAATATCTTAAATGTGAATTTGTGTACATAATGATACCAAAATATAAAAGCTATAATATCAAACGATCTTGTTGAGAATGAATACAATTTGATCATATATGAAATAACATAATAATATTAATATAATAATATATAAATAATAATATAATTTAAAGAGGATTTACGAAAGAATAGCCTACCTGCATTCATATATATGTATATCATATATACGTTTATAATCTGATATAATAAATTATCTATAAATTGTTAAAAAACTAAATTAACACTTGATTATGTTATTATTGTTAGATAATAAAGTGAGTAAACTAATTGAATTTTATACAATAAACTTAAAGCCTCAATCAATTTAAATTTAATAGCAAATTATGCATAATTCATATATATAAACATTTTATTTTAACAAATCAAAATATTTTATATTGTAAATCAGGCAATGCGATATAATTACTTTGGCCTCTCCCTAGCAAAAATTTCAACTAAATGAAAAACACGATGCAAAAAATATATATATATTTATATATTTATAAAAAAATATATATATATTTATACATTTTTTTCTAGCTTGTAACGTACAAATATTGTATACATATATATTTGTTAATAAATTGAATGAAGCAATGGGAACTAAACATTGTCTGGTGGGCGGAGGTGTTGCCTCTCATAGTGTAACGTAGATTGCATGCGCTCATTGTAGTTGTTGTTGTAGTTGTTGTTGCTGTCTATGCTGGCATTGCATACTTCGTGTTCTTGTGCTTCATCTGCTGTCACGCCCCTCGCCTTCTCTTCTCTCTCACCTGATCGACCTCCTCTACAGCTCACATGATTCATTTATGCTTGTGGCATACTCCGCGTACTTTTGATTACCATGTAGGTCGTTCGGCTTATTAAACAAAAAATGCTTGCGCAAAAGAGCTAGCGAATGTAGGTGGTACGTAATAAAGGAGGAGGAGACTGAGAGACCTCATACAATGAGTGTGTGGCCAGGGGTCAGTTTACCGTACTTCATAGTGTGTGACACTTTTGTTTGTTGTTGCTCTGCTTTGCTTATTTAATTAATTGTCTTGAATTAGTAGCTCCAGCTGTGACTCTGGCTTTGGCATCAAATCAAGAGGCAGCCGGGCAGCGGCGACAAGTCTGGGGTTTGCTCTGCATGGCTGGCCAGCGTGAACTTACAAAATTGTAGCAATCGATTCAAGGTTAGCACGACGACAACGTGCAACGGCTCACTAACTGTCGCTACAACAATTACTGGCAATCGCAGTTGTAGATCTCATTGGATTTGTAGAGCTAAACAGATTTGTAACAGTTTATTTGCCATTTTTATTATACCATACTCTTGTTGTGCCATAGATAATCCACTATGATCGTCTCTAATTTTTGTTGTTTTGTATGCAAATTGTCAATGTATTAAGTACGTATATTTATATTGGAGATGCAATGAGTCAGTTAGTCAGTCAGTAATTCCGTTAGTCCGTTGAAGACAAAGGGGCCTATGGTATGAAATGAGTTGCAGAGAATCATATAGGTTTGAAGAAAAATGGGTCTTCAAATGAGTTACAGAGAATGTGTGCATAGTCCAAGGTTTGTATGTCTGTAGTTTTAATTGGAGTTGTATGGTGCTCTATAGCGATGTTTTGTGAAGTTCTTTATCAGAGAAAAGGCTCTGCATTCAATTTTTACTATTTAATAATTTTATTATTTTAATAATTTATGTTCCAACAAAAATCAATCCAGTATAATATAATGAATAAATTACAAGTCAATTTTTGAAAATTTCCATTTCTGCATAAGCCTTAACATACTTGACTGAAAAATACCTTAATTAATTAAAATACCAAATTTAATTTCGTTTTGTAGTTTCTTCTTCTATTCACTAGACTTTACCAATTCATTGATTGATATGTGAAAGATTAAAGCACATTGAAGAAATCTTTTTAGCTCTATACAAGTCTTACTTGATTTGAGATTTTCATTGAGCAATATATTTCCACTGAATCATATCAGCAGATCATCTCTGTTTGTTTACATTGCTGCACAAATATGGCTTTACAACCACTGTGCCTGTGCCTCTGGACACTGTGCTGTGTGCTGGCAAAACGCCCAGAAAACGAGAGCACGATGACAATTAGAAACGTGTTTATTGTTGTTGCCGTTGCTCTCATTGCTATTAGAGTTTTGCCATATTTTGCGCTTAGTTTTCATATAATTATACGGGCCATGCGGCAATTGCTTACGTCTTGTTTTGCATTAGATCCGGTCCACGAAATGCACCAAGCTAGAAGTCCAGAAGCAACGAGCCAACATAGCTGCAATCCGATTCATGGAAACGAGCAAGCATGAACATAAAGGCAGGCAAATCGACTCTCTCGTGATGTTGGATGCTGTCTGCGATTGGGCTTTGGCTGTTATGGCTGCGAATGGCAGTTAGCGCTGCAGTTAAACATTTGAAACTCGAGCATATTTCTAGTTGCGGGTGCTTGACTCTAGCAATTGTTGACTTATCTTGTGCGATTGTGCGGCAGCCAGGTGAGTCGGCTACCTGGCGGCTCGTAATCTCCATAAACTTACCATCAGACTTCAAGTTGATGCTGAGTGCTCGTAAAATTTGTTGCAATTAAAGCAATTTGTGTGCGTTGCACGCTATTGTTGTTGTATTTGTTGTTGTCGCTGCTGTTGATTGAGTGGCAAATTTGTTGTCCGTTGTTTTGTAATATATGCAAGCTCGTTGCCTGTCCGCGAAAAAGTAATAGTATATGGTTTGAGCAATTGTATCAGATCACTCGGGTAGTCATATTAACCAAGATATGAATTAAAATAATTGTGTGGAAATTATGATAAGCAGCTTATTGAGGCAAATCATTTTCAACTCAACAATTGCTCTACGAATAACACAAAGGAACTGCATTTGAACATTATTAATTTGTGTACTACGCGGCGACCTTGAACTGCGGCTGCGAATGGAAATGGGTAAATCGATGAATTCAAATACCACAAAGATTGACCAAAAGAGCATACAAAAATCATTCATAAAAGCGCCGACGAGATAATAAATAATCGGCTTTAAAGGTGTTTCACGAATATGCAGGTCATTATCAAAATGGATTGTGTGTGTGTGTGTGGAATTTATATGGAGTTTCAAAGTGTACTTTATCTGATAATCTGTATGCTGTTAAAAGTCTCTTTGGCTAGTCGAAAGAGCTAAGAATGTTTCTTGGTATATATGTATATGTTTATAAAGAATCTGTAAATTTGGAATGTAGTTAAATGGTATTTAGTCATTCAAGTATTATAATAGAAATTTAATGAGAGATTTTTCATGATCAATAAATTTGATTAAACATATGTAAATTTATGTTAAATCGTAAATTTCTTAAGAAAACTCCCCAATTCAATGAATTGAAAAGCAAAGTGCATTCGCTATAAGGTCAGCATTCAATAGCTATACAATGTCTCATTGTTATTGACAGCTTTTCTTCTCGCCCAGCATTCAATAGCAAATTGAAATTTCGTTGGCTTTTCTGACAGCTTAATGTCAAAGTCAACGCAGCTGTGGGCGTGGCTGATCGGCCGTTCAATTACATAGGGCGCACAGAAAAGGCTTAGATAGTATAATGTAATCTATGCAATTGTGTCGAATAGTCGATCACGACGGCCTTGTGTGACTGTTAGGCAAATGGAGTGGGAGTCGAGGAGAAGGGGGAGCATTATGTTGTGGCACGGCAGCGGGAGCCAACGTTCAAATTTCCATGACCACAGCGCCAAAGCGAGCCCAGCTCCAAAAGTGGAACCGACCCATTGCCTTACGAATCGGGGAGACTTACAATTTGTGTTTTGTAGGTTTGCATTTTAGTTGCTTTTCGCAATGCTGCACACCCATCGACCCGGCCAGTGGGCGTGGCAGCTGAGCCAACTTTACAACATTTCCGTTTTTAAAGTTTGCCGTATCGAATTCGCTTCTAATAATTGTTGGCATTATCATTGTTTGTGCTCATTGTTCTAGTTTTTGGAAAAGGCTGCTTGGCTGGCTGATTTATTGGCTCCAGTTATTGTCTAGTCCATTGTTGGGCCTGCATGTCGATCTGCTGATTGCTTAGCGCATTGTTTCGACTCTGAAGGCTGGCCATGTCCAGCTGTCCAACTTTTAAAAGCCGCCGCCGTCGAATGTTAATTTTTCATTACATTTTGATTAGGGTGCCAGAATGTCGAAAGTCGTAAGAGTATATATAATAGAATTGACTTGGGTTCCAAAAAATGAGAGATCGACAACTTCGACTAAGATGTAAATTCTAGCTAAGCCGGATTTACCATTTAAAATTTGTTGGGCACCTAAATGTAGTGAAATATTAAAAACCTTGGAAATAAATAAAAATAATGAAAATAAAATTTTTTTTTTAATGA